CAGCAGCCCAGCAGCTCCTACACACACAATACACATTCATTGTGTTTGTGTGTGCGTGTGTCTGTGTGTGTGTGTGTGTGTGTGTGTGTGTGTGTGTGTGTGTGTGTGTGTGTGTGTGTGTGTGTGTGTGTGTGTGTGTGTGTGTGTGTGCGTGCGTGCGTTATAGCAGACATTCTGTGGGCAGCTAATATGAGCGCCAAGAATGGGTTTTTGTACTGTTCCAAGTTTGTGAGACGGAAAGTACTTTGAGTGTGAAAGAGATAACAACATAAAGTATAAATATGGAGGCACACACTGTATTACATCTAGTTTTTGTGTGTGTGTGTGTGTGTGTGTGTGTGTGTGTGTGTGTGTGTGTGTGTGTGTGTGTGTCTGCCTGTGTGTGTGTTGTGTGTTGTGTGTTTGTGCCTGTGTCTCTGCTTCATGTTTTCACAGCTGCTGCTGATTCTAACTAGACGATAAGAGGGTCAGAAGTATGATCTCATGATTTCCATGGCTACTGCACTGATATGGATCGTAGACCACTTACTAAGAACATAAAACCCTAACACACATTCACATGGCCATAAAAACCCACACTCTCGAGGCATTTTGACCCTATATGGCTGCGTTTGGCTTTCTTTACGAAACGGACACTGTTCTCATCCACATAGACTTGAAAACATGTTTTAGTGTGAGGGTACAGTTTTGTTGTTAAGTGGCCAAAGGACAAGCGGTTTTCTTGGAAGGGTCATATTTTGTGGGACGACCAACAATCATAGTTGTGAGGAACTATGTTAGTATTCAGCATCCCCATATATTACTTGCTCTAACTGTACTCTTATGAGTAGAGTATTATTGAGAATCCTACAATTTGTATTGGTTTTATTAGAAGTTTCTTCACCATGCTAGTAATGTTAATAATATCCCTTTTATTTTCCGTCCTAAATCTACCTCTTCTCCTTTGTTGTTAATCCAACAATCTCTCCGTACACTTGAACATGATTTGCTACTTCTGATTACATAATTCTTTGCAGATTTACGGACATTTATTGGTTAGGTTTTAAGGTTTTCCAGAGTGGGCAGACCTATAGACACGAGCAAGGGAATAAATAAGGTGTTTTGCCCCGGGTGCATATTTAGTACATGGCGTAAATCGAACCTGGACATTGTTCGTCTACAGCCATCCATTAAGAATGACAGCATTCAGGCAAGACGTTTATGAGGTGAGCTGTTAGTGCCAGTAATGCACTCTGTCAGGAGATCAGAAGAGAGCAGGGAGGGGGT